CTTTGCCTGATTTTGGGTAAAAGTTGCTATTTTTTATTAAAAAAATTCAATATTTACATAAATATTTACAATATTTACATACAAGTCATACTCAGCCAGTCACGTGACCACCAAGCCATGCCAGGTAGCAAGCCACAGCCACCCAGTCACATGACCACCAAGCCACACCCGCAAATTAGGCCATGCCCACAGAACTGGTTGTTAAGAAAGTTGAATCCCACCCCTGGTTAAAAGTACAGAAACTATATATGGAAAAGGTACTGGCTAGCAATTCAAAAACTATCCTCACTGGTTGGTGTCTAACAGGTTAGAAATATGCCAGATTTTGACCATGTTGTTAAGATTGTGGGCTGACTAAATTATAGGTAACTTTATGGCCGCTGACTTGGATGCTAAGTAGGTATTTGAACATTAATGTTCCATGGAACCAAAACATATTATAGAGCTGTAGTAAATATACAGAATTCAGTTATCAGAATTTTTCTGTAACAATTAACCTGGCAATCATACATAAGATTTAATTCATACACATGTATAATCACATTCTATTTTTTTCTACTGGAAGAGGGCAAATAATCATCTTCTCAGATGAGCAGGCAAATTGTAGGTTTAGACTACAATTCAGTAACAATAAATCAGAATGCTTGAAAGGTTAATGAAGTATTGGAAGATAAAGATTTATATTTACTTAAAGACTTAACCTTCATAGCCAACAAAATAACTTCTTGTATCAGTTTTCCAAATTACTGTTATTAACTAATAGTAGTGTGCAACTTATATATGCAATTGATGAATGTGCAGTATACATTTTACATACTATCCTAGTTTCAAGTAATTCAAAATAATAACAAAATTAAAATAAATTAGAAAAGTAGAACATTCACACTACGGATCCATACAATTTATAAAGGCAGATATTACTAATTAATATTTACCAAGTACCCTCAAGAGCTAAGTTTTTATTAACTTCCAAAAGCTACAGTTTGATCTCAAGAAGGAGATTGTTCCAAAATACAAGTGCCACAAGAGAAAAACTGCAAGGGTCTGTTATCTTTTTTTAAAACTGTCCTCTGCATGCTTAATTCTACAAGGAGAAGATGAACTTGGCATCTAGAATTAAAACCATTTGGGGCTTTAAAGTTAAAACCAGTATCTTGAATTCCATTCAGAAATCCAAGGGTAAGAACAGCTGGGCTCCCCCCTGCTATGATGCAATTGTGATGGATTTCATTTGCTAAGATGAAGGCTATTGCCTTTTAAATTAAATACAGTTTCTTGATGACCTCTAAAGGCAGCCCATGAAGAATGCATAGCAGTAGTCTAGGCTACTTAACTCTATGTCTTAACTCTAAGAAGTGTTACTACCATGTGGACAAACCTCCCAACCACCCAACTAAAAAACGTCTAGACAATGGAGAGAAGGACCTGTACATTGACTACCATGCTGACTGTATCAAAAGTAAGTCACACAACCCGCAACTCAGCTTTTACCTTCAACCACAACCCTACCTCAACCAATCCACCATCACCCAAGATTAGGCATGCACGCCCCTAACTACCTCAATTCCAATTACTGCTGGCCTTAAATGCAAGCTACTCAATGAAAGAAGCCTTGTGAATAAAATACTTGAATTTCTCCTCTTACTAAATATGGCTAAATTCGACATCATATTTGTCCTGTGAAACATGGCTCAACGCATCTCTCCCTGACTCCATTACCACAGTAAGAGACTATCATGTTTACCGATCAGATCATGAAATTCGTAGAGGAGGTGCTATCTTCTATAAAAAGTCCTTACATCTCAAAAACATCCAAGTTACCCAGGAGCTTGTTCTTCCTGAGACCATCATCTGTGAACTATCCTTAAATATCACATTTCGATTCTTACTATGCCCACACACTTTTATCTTTCTCGGTGACTTCAATCTACCTCATATTAACTGGACCTTAAACGAATGTACAACTGAACCTATACATGCAACCTTCTACAATGCTGTTACAAATCTGGGACTGGAACAACTAGTAACCAACAATACTAGACTTGACAACTGCCTTGATCTCATCTTCTGCAATAGTTTGAATTTAATTTACAGAATACAAACTAAAGAACCCTTTTCCAACAGTGACCACAATATGATTGACTTTTGTCTCAACATACGCCCACACAAAAATCATCACAATGATGTAATCCCCAATTATAACTTTAAAAAGGCAACTATGATCTTATAGACAACGATCTCTCATCCCTTGATAGGCAATCTCTATTCACTGGATGCAATACTGTTGAAGACCATTACAACATATTTTTACTTGAAGTCAAAAGAGTCATCAAACTATATGTACCAACAACAACCCCCCCCCCCCGGAAAAAAAACAGATTACCCATAACAATAAAGGAACTTCAATCCAAAAAGAGATCACTCTGGCAGAAAAACAAATCTGGTCACGTTGCCAACTTCAAAAGCCAATACAAAAATTTATGCCACCAGATAAAGACTGAATGCACCAATTATCACATTAAACAAGAGGAAAACCTTCTACTCACCAATTCCACCCACACTTTTTACAATTTTGTAAACAACAAACTAAAAGACTGAAGGTCCATCCCACCCCTGATAGGACCTAATGGTAAAGACTGCAATGACGACACCATTAAAGCCAACATCTATAACACATTCTTTGGCTCAGTATTTGTAAACAACAATGGATCATGCCCAGTATTTCCTAGTCGAACCACAGACAACTACAATGATCTAATACATATCGATTTTACAGAAGACAATGTTGAAAAAGCACTACGCAATCTAAAACCATCTCTATCTATTGGACCGGACGGAATATGTGCCTACTTCTTTAAAAAGCTATCCACTGCCATAGCAGAACCTCTAAGCATAATCTTTGAAAAATCTTTCAGGAGCAGTCTTACTTCACATCCTAGAAGAATGAAATATTTTGAGAAATATTTAAAAAGGCAGAATATTATATTTCCATAAAGGAGAAACATGCTTCTAAACAGGGGTCCCTAACCACCAGGCCCCGGACCGGTACCGGTCCGTGGAACATTTTCTACCGTGCCGCCGGTTTGCTGGGCGCCGCCATCTTGTTTTGATGAGAAAGTGCTTCCGGTGAGCTTTTCCGGTTGGAAAGCGGCGTTCGGGTCCTGAAGGAATCCTCGCGCCTTAGTTTCATCAAAGGGGGGGGGGGCGGCTTCGAACAAAACTAAGGCGTGAGGATTCTTTCAGCACCCAAGGCAAGGCGAGCCGAGCGACCATCCCGAAGCTGTCCCGAAGCCCATCGACAAAGGTACAAAGGAGGAGTTGAAGGTGGCGGGGAGAAGCGGGGGACGGTTGGCTGGCCGGTCGCTCGGCTCGCCTTGCCATGCGTGCTGATGCTGGTACCGGGCCGCGGATCATTTTGTGATACCGGTACGGGGCCGTGGCACAAAAAAGGTTGGGGGCCACTGCTTCTAAAGACAGAAACTCAGAGCCTCAGCTCCCTGCCCCCAAGCAGATACTGAGGCCAGCCTTTATAAATGCAGATTTGATAATCCATTACTCCTGGCAGGCCTGAACAAAGATAGGATCAGCCCTCAGCACCTTCATTGCATCAACACACTTCAACCAAACTTGACTTCAAGTCAAACATAGCATAGCCCCATGGGAGTTTGACAGCAAACAATAGAATACTTGCCCCAGCCACAGGAACAGGAAGCTCAAGGACAAGGCCCAAGAGAGGGTATAAATACCTCTCACTCTCCACTCCATGTGCTCAGCTGCACCAGGACGTCAAACCCATGTGTTCATCAATAAACCCTCATTCCAAACAGCCTCCATGTTTCCATTGTTTTTCTCCCTACTTGGAACTGAACCAGATGGATATTTCCTCCAACACGATATACAGCAAGAAACTCAGGAAGGGGTCTTGTAAGGTATCTTGACCCTTCACGTTCAGCCATTGATACTACATTATTCCTAAAGCATGGATTCAGATTTTCACAGTAATTGCTACTGCTTCATCTTTCCAGTCCTGGAAATAGTTCTTTTCTACACATGATATACCTGCAAACCAGCCTTTGATGAACAGAAAACTAGCAAGTTTATGTATGCAAGTTAATTTACATCCTAAAGAAAATGAGAACAATTTTAAAATGCCAGATATTTTGAGTTAAAATTTTAACATCAAGAACACATCTTAATGCACGTGCATCTCTGATTATCCATCTTGTGTAACATTTCTTTTAATCTATTGGTAAGCATTCATGATCTATAAAGAGTATTTTCATGCATCTTTATATTATGTATTTACTAATATCCTTAATAAAAAAAGATTTGGACATAGCGGAGATAAACAATTTAGGTTATAAAAATATATTGTAAATTCATGTAAAAATATGCTCAATTATTTGATTTGTATAACGCACAAAATAAGGGAAATTATTACTGAAATTCCTTTTCTGTATGTTTTACAGTATATTGTGCTTGAGGATGCTAAAATGTACACTCAGAAATTATATTTCGAATGGCCCAGTTATTTTTACTCCTTCCGTCAGTTTCCCTTGGGACATAGAATAAGCTTGTTCTCTGGCAGCAAAATATGCTAATCATGTGACTTATCACCCAGTGAATTAGCATTGCTTCTCTCATCTGAGCCATGTTCCCTTGAAAAACCATGGCATCTTAATAGAAAATAATGACTGTGTGATAAACCTCATTAGAAAATCAATATATTGACACTAGCCTCCCAAATGTCTGAATAGTAATGGATTGTCTCCTCATTAAGAAGACTATTAACGTGTACTTAAGCATCATTAAATTATATTGATCAAATATTATTCACGTACTAATTTTCTGGAAAGCAGTAGATACTGGAAAGAAATGTAAGCTTATGTATTTAAAAGAGAAGCATGATATATGATAAAGGAAACTTAACTCAATATTCAGTAACTATTAAAAATGTACAGGAAGACTTTGAAACAATATTGGAAGGTAATATTACTTACCAAAAAACTTCCAAAGGCTGAGTTAAATATAGCAGCTGCCTAAAAGAATGAAAGAAACATCAATAATACTCTTGCTATTTCATGTATAATACTCAGCTTAATTCATATTTTCTAGTAAACTACTGCCATTTAAAATCATTGCAAAATATCCTATGAAAAGTCACATTTCAGATAATAGTTACTTATTTTATTACTCATGTTTACAATTTGCATTTCACATTTATACTCCTTTGGCAACTTAAAAATAAAGGAAGTTATTAAAAAACACCTATTACCATGTTTATGCTATATAAAATTCCTTATAGGAAAAGCACATGTAGACTTTTTTTTTAAAGAAGTCAATAGAAAAATAACGTATTAATAAGTAATTACTAGTATGATGCTTATCTGGATATATATTTTAGTGTATTTCAAGTAGAATATTGAATTTAATCTTTTGCTAAAAGCATTGAAATGAATATATACTGCAGTAAAATTACAACTTATCTATGTGCTTTTAATTCCAGAGGCCAGAAAGAATACAACGAATCCAGCAAAAAGAAAAAGGAAAAATAAATGACCCAACTGAGTTTGAAGAAATATTTAGCTTACCTAAATATCCAAGAAATAATGTTGGGGGAAAACATTCTGATAAACTACTAAATTCTGAGAAACAGAAAATGCTTAAATCTTGTAAAGCTTCTTGCTTTACCATAAAGGAAGGAATTCTTCCATGGCATCCAGTCCGATGATGTAGAAAAACAAGTAGAGGAAAAAGTGGGGAGGGGCAGAGAAAAGAAAATGTGCCATTTACATGGAAAACAGAAGCAGAATCAAAGTAATCACCAAGGACACCATCCAGCCATGGAGGAAAGATTTTTTGAAAGAGCTTGAAAGTTTGAACATAGTCCAAAACACAGGCTAAGCTGAGTAGAACCTACTGCTCTATTATGAGAGTGCAATGAAAATGAATAGCTAATGAGGTGCTTGGCTCCAGAGAGCTTGGCTTTCTTATTCAAGTTCATAATTTATTTAAAGCTTTGATAATTTCATTAGAGTCATCCTTGGCTGGCCTTATCAATAAAAGATAGCCCTGGACCACAGCTTCTCAGTGGCCCACACACAAGCAAGCACAGTCTTGTAATATTTTGTTTTGCTTTGCTTCCTTGTTTGCTTGCTTGCTGAAAAGGACAATGGCATATGGTGTTCCATGTTGTGGGGAGAGATTCTGAATAGAAACAGCTAAATAAAACATCACAGTTGACAGTTATAAAACTACAGCAAAATATTTTCACACCTCTACTTTCTCAGCATCTGCCTTTGAACATGAGGAGGAGGAACCAGTCCAAATAATTATACTTGCAACAATTAATAAACATGATATGGTTTAACGAGTCAGAGTGTAACATTAGGATTTCAACTTGTAATTCCACACCTTGATAAACCTCGAGGAAATAATCTGTGACATACCAATGCAGCTTAAGTTAAGTTCAGGTACTTGCTCTTACATGACTGTTCCTATTCCTTCTAATCATCTCCCAAGATCTCTCCTGGTGTCCTCCTGCCTTGAAAGGCAACAAATAGCAACTAGGATCTTTCTGCTATAGCACCCTACTTGTAGAATGGATTCATGAGTTGGTCATACCTGACATTATGATTGAAAGGGTATGGGTTAAATATAAATTGGTGACTGAACGTTATGACTAAATATTTTAAAATATGGACCAAACGAGAGGGCCCTCGAGAGCAAAACTTCTTGGGTGCATTTAGAGATATTTGTGTTGTGGTTCGCCGGCAGCCTGCGCAGATGGTAGTGGAATCAGACAGTGAGGAAGAATGGGGAACAGTCCAGGAGTCTGGAGAGGACTCAGACAAGGGTCCTGTGTCCGATGCAGAGATGGGGCCAGGACCATCTGGGAGTTGTGAGCTGACTCCAGAGCCTCCTAAGTCTGGCAGCAGCAAGGCAGAGGAACAAGGGGAGCCTGTTCCCAGTGCGCATGTGCGCAGAGCTGCTAGAAGGCAAGAGCAGCTAAGACAAAAGGGCGGACTTGAGAGTAAGGCTTGGAGGTGATTGCCCCTCCCCTAAGGTATAAAGGAAGTGCAAAGGTAGAGAAACCTTTGCAGGAAGTAAAGTTGTTCACTCTGTTTGGATTAAACCTTGAAGTTCTGTGTAGACTTTGTACTTCGGATGGCTTTTTACAGTTAATTTGGCACTTTAGTTGTTGGCAATAATTCAAAGGACATAAAGGTGGGTGCTTATCTCAAGGGACTGTTTGGGACTCATTACGGGCTGGGAGTGAACCTAAGTCCCAGTGTTGAAATAAAACAAGAGTTGTTTGGACTAAGCATGTGCTTAATTACAGTCTCAGGAAGCCTTGGTCAGAACAATTTGATACCATGTTATATTTTAGGCACTCAAAGTTTTATTCTCCTGAACATTTAATGGATTACATTTTCTTAGTTATATATTATATACACTGCTCAAAAAAATAAAGGGAACACTTAAACAACACAATGTAACTCCAAGTCAATCACACTTCTGTGAAATCAAACTGTCCACTTAGGTAGCAACACTGATTGACAATCAATTTCACATGCTGTTGTGCAAATGGAATAGACAACAGGTGGAAAGCATAGGCAGTTAGCAAGACATCCCCAATAAAGGAGTGGTTCTGCAGGTGGTGACCACAGACCACTTCTCAGTTCCTATGCTTTCTGGCTGATGGTTTGGTCACTTTTGAATGCTGGCGGTGCTTTCACTCTAGTGGTAGCATGAGACGGAGTCTACAACCCACACAAGTGGCTCAGGTAGTACAGCTCATCCAAGATAGCACACCAATGCGAGCTGTAGCAAGAAGGTTTGCTGTGTCTGTCAGCGTAGTGTCCAGAGCATGGAGGCACTACCAGGAGACAGGCCAGTACATCAGGAGATGTGGAGGAGGCCGTAGGAGGGCAACAACCCAGCATCAGGACCCCTACCTCCGCCTTTGTGCAAGGAGGGACAGGAGGAGCACTGCCAGAGCCCTGCAAAATGACCTCCAGCGGACCACAAATGTGCATGTGGCTGCTCAAACGGTCAGAAACAGACTCCATGAGGGTGGTATGAGGGCCCGACGTCCATAGGTGGGGGTTGTGCTTACAGCCCAACACTGTGCAGGATGTTTGGCATTTGCCAGAGAACACCAAGATTGGCAAATTCGCCACTGGCGCCCTGTGCTCTTCACAGATGAAAGCAGGTTCACGCTGAACACATGTGACAGACGTGACAGGGTCTGGAGAGGCCGTGGAGAACGTTCTGCTGCCTGCAACATCCTCCAGCATGACCAGTTTGGCAGTGAGTCAGTAATGGTGTGGGATGGCATTTCTCTAGGGGGCCGCACAGCCGTCCATGTGCTCGCCAGAGATAGTCTGATTGCCATTAGGTACCAAGATGAGATCCTCAGACCCCTTGTGAGACCATATGCTGGTGCGGTTGGCCCTGATTTCCTCCTAATGCAAGACAATGCTAGACCTCATGTGGCTGGAGTGTGTCAGCAGTTCCTGCAAGACAAAGGCATTGATGCTATGGACTGGCCCGCCCGTTCCCCAGACCTGAATCCAATTGAGCACATCTGGGACATCATGTCTCGCTCCATCCACCAACGCCACGTTGCACCACAGACTGTCCAGGAGTTGGGGGATGCTTTAGTCCAGGTGTGGGAGGAGATCCCTCAGGAGACCATCTGACACCTCATCAGGAGCATGCCCAGGCGTTGTAGGGAGGTTATACAGGCACGTGGAGGCCAGACACACTACTGAGCCTCATTTTGACTTGTTTTAAGGACATTACATCAAAGTTGGATCAGCCTGTAGTGATTTTTTCCACTTTAATTTTGAGTGTAACTCCAAATCCAGACCTCCATGGGTTGCTAAATTTGATTTCCATTGATAATTTTTGTGTGATTTTGTTGTCAGCACATTCAACTATGTAATGAACAAAGTATTTAATAAGAATATTTCATTCATTCAGATCTAGGATGTCTTATTTTTGTGTTCCCTTTATTTTTTGGAGCAGCGTATACAATATTTTTCATTTTTATGAAGGGGCGTTTTATTATTATTTTTGTTTAGATAGCTTAAAGATAGAAAGAAATACAACAGTTAACAATTGAATAATAGCTATTTCTGGCTCTACTATATATATTTCACAAAAATGTAACTTGTAACCTATTACTGTATTTTTTTCCATTTTCTTTCAGACCATTCAATGAATAGTAGCCACATACATGTCTCCTTAGGGAAAGCATTCCATAACTTGGGAGCTACAATAAGGAGGACTTCTCCTGCATAGCAGACAGATCAAGAGCATCAGTCACAGCTGGAAAATCTTAAAGCAAGCCTCTGTTAATCTAAGTCACAAAGTAAGCTTGTAACAGCAGTGTCACCCTCTTATGGCCAGCTCTTAAGCCATATAAAGGCCAATTCTTAAAATATTTAACACTTCAGATCAGATGAATTAGAAAAACTCTGAAATTTCTTGGTGTCCTTTTCTTTATCCTTTGGAGAGTTTTGGTTTTATACCACATCATTTTCCCTGGGAAGCATGGTCAACTGAAATTCAAGAATAAAGTCTGCTATATCTTTGGCAAGTAACAATGAAAAAGAGGAAACTGGGAGCAGTTAAAGTAACTAAAGAAAAATCCATTTCTGAATCCTCACACTGTGTACTTCAGCAATTATAACAGGCAGAAGAAATTGGAGACTCATTCCACTCCTCTGTTTTCGATTGCACAAAAACAAAACCAAGTCCTGGATTAGAACTAACAGACCTGTAGCAAATCACTTAATAATGCAAATTAGCATACTATTTACCCGTCACTTTGGGAAGAAAAGTATTACATAAATTCTAAGTCTTCTCTAGAATATTTAGAAACCAACACGGTTAAATTTTTCAGCGGTCAATACAAGCCATGAATTAATATTTTCATTTGACTGAAAACCTTTTTCCCTAGTATGTGCTTAAAAATGTTCCTGAAATTAATCCTTTCTTAGGTTAAACACATGCACTATATACATACTCA